CATGTCAGTTTCAATTATTGATTAGATGCTCTGTTTAAGGTCAAGGTATCCCGATGTCATGATATCAAACAGGGTGCAAATCTTAGTTTAATTGACAAGAAAGTAAAACATTTTGAAAATCAGTGGAGACAAACTATTTACAGCTAAATTAATGCATATCTTATGTTATTGTTGTCTCAACTGTCAAAATCAGTGTAAAGGTCATTTACTCTATGAATACAACAGCTACATACTGGAAGTATAAGCAGCATGTAATACAGACCATATGTGTTATATACCAAAACTGCAGCTGCCAAATTTACACTTATCAGAGGTATACACAAAGTCTGCAGTCTAGACTACCAGTTGTCCAACTTCCATTTTTGTGGAAGTTGGGGTGGCTGAGTGGGTTAGGTGGCTGACTTTGTGTGCTGGCGATTTGGTGCCTGACTCTGATGGTGTGGGTTCGAATCCCGGATTCTAGAACTGTACTTTACTAAGAATGTGTAATCCCAAATATAACATATGTTACATTTGACCACTTTCTAAATGGCTTTGTGTAATCATAGCTTTCGGCTGTGGGAGCCGTGCCAAATTTACACTTATTAGAGGGTTACACAAAGTCTGCAGTCTAGACTACCAGTTGTCCGACTTCCATTTTCTGACATGTGTGCTGGCGATTAGGTGCCTGACTCTGAGGGTGTGGGTTCGAATCCCAGATGGGACTCAACCCCAAAAGTACTAGTATCTGTACTTTACTAAGAAAGCGTAATCCCAAATATTTCATATGTTACATTATAAATGATGTTGCAGTTTCGTATTCTGAGGGAAATTCTGTCATCTGGGGTAGGCTCTTATTGTAGGGAGGGCAAAGTCACTGTAAACTACATCGTAAATCTTTCCATTTTTTACATATTGCTAAACCACCATTCACAGCGTTACTTCATGTATGATTTGAAAGTTCACAAAAGCATTTTAGGGAATACAGTTATTTCTTATCAAATTACCAGTGATCATTCTGAAATATGAGCAAAAAAACCCTAGAATCACTAAGAATTTTTTGAAAAATATGCAAACACAAATGTCGAAGTCAACTTTCTTCCATATTAAGTAATGTTTATAAAATCTCATTACATGCATGTCGGTAAGGTCATGTCTATTACAATTCAATTCAAATTCATACTCAGCTTCCATACATGAATCTGTAAATTCTTCATACATATTACAATCAAATGACAAGGGGTGTTTGTTACCAATCCCACATGTTTAGGTGAAATCAAGTGAAAAAAAACAAGAATGAAATCAAATACTGTGCTTGGAAGACTCCACTTATTTGAAATGTAATCACAGTAGATTTGAGGTTTTATACTCTGTAACATTTACTCCTACTTTGAGAGATCCATTCATCTACTTGCTGCATTCAGCAGCTCAACATTTTTAGACTGCTGACTGACTGAGTTTGGTTTTACGCCGCTTTTAGCAATATTCCAGCAACATCACGGCGTCAACATTTTTAGAATATGCAGGGAAAGGATTATAGCAAGAATTAGGGAAGTAAACACTGACATATTTAAATGATTTGGTTAATTAAACTAATTATTATAGTTTCCGTCCAGCGTGATACCCTGATTGACACACTCGTGCACAGCGACAACGGTACTTATCAGCATTTCGACTTTTTCCCTTGATTAAACTGAAAACCAAAAACAGGAAAAAAGAACACGCAGATTGTCAGAATGTTTCTGATTACTTACTTGTCACATTTATGCATGTACGACCCCAGAATTAGCGTAAGTTCCTGCATAAAATACCACGTACCCATGGGGGTGAACAAACCATCGGTCATTGATTGGGATGTCATACGTCTGCATTGTTGAACATATTTGATATTTCCTTTGAGGTAAAGCATTATAAATGAAAGGAAAAATAGTCAGTCAATACTCACAGTTTCAATTGTTATATAAATATTGTGCATCTTTTACATAATGTTTCACACAATTTAATTCACTCTTGATATCTTTTGCATTGGGACTAGACAGCAGATGTAAGGGGGTTAACTCTTGCCTGTTTAGCTCTGACTAAATGGAGGCCTCATAATGGCATAACCTTTCAACACTTGTATTTAGCTTTCTATTTTCAGAGTGAGAAACAAGAGTGTACATTTTCAAACGTGTACATGAACTAATACTAAAATTATGTTTTGTTTCAAATATGGAACTGATTTTTGAGTGTACACTTCCCCTTTAGCATACAGCGACATTCCTTATTAGCTGAACTTCCAATCTGATGAATATGAGGCGAGTGACTTAATGTGAAAAAATACTTGTCCTCTTAAACAAGACTATAACTCAATAATATCGACAGAAAATTCTGTTTGCAGCTGTTACCTATAAAATGTGTATGTTAATAAGTATATATACAGCAGTAAAGTGTAACCTGAAAAAGTCAGCTTACAGCATAGTTACTTACTAGGAGATGGCTGCATTAGTTAATTCCTATGAGATGGCTATGTTTTTAGCTCTCACAAGACGTGTATATTATGTACTACTGTTTTCTGCTTCAGCAACAGTGAGTGGGATGTAAGGATAAGCAAGCGTGGCTCATGGAAGGTGTAATGATGTTCAGCCAGGGAGTTCAGCTGGATTTAGCATTCAGGTGTGGCTTACAGGGGATAATTACACACATGGGATAGTGTATATAATCAGGATTGCATCCAATATGTATTGCAGGTGTGAGACAATCTGGGCTGTAAATGGAGCCCGTTATCAAGCAGACATGGAGTCTCATCTTTATGCAGACTGAAAAATACAGTATCTCAACCAAGATTTCCTGTTATGGAACTAAATGATGATGGGGAGGTGGTTATCATACAACACTACAGGAAGAATAAACCATAAGGGGTGCACAAAGTCAAAATAATATTCAGTGATAGCATTAGATTTGAAGAGCTGATAAATAAAAACAAATTTGTTTTAATTAGCATTGTGACAAATGGAAAGTATTACAATATCTGCATCCTTTGGTTCACACGGATTATTCAATATTTATCTGCTGTCAGTTATCATAGGGTGGTGGGGTGGTGGGTCTGGTGACCCGGGTTCAATTCCTCACATGGGTACAATGTGTGAAGCCCATTTCTGGTGTCCCCCACCGTGATATTGCTGGAATATTGCTACAAGTGGCATAAAACCATACTCACTCACTTACTCAGTTATCATACATCTGATGTGTACATCCTGTTCTTAGTGCCATGTTTCCGATATACTCACTTATTATTGTAATAGTTTTAAGTAGCCTATCAATGGGAATCATTAGCCAGTATTCAACTGCATTAAATGTTATTTTCATAAAAGGGGCTGTGGGGTAGCCTAGTGGTTAAAGCGTTGGCTCGTCACGCCGAAGACCCGGGTTCGAATCCCCACATGGGCACAATGTGTGAAGCCCATTTCTGGTGTCCCCCGCCGTGATGTTGCTAGAATATTGCTAAAAGCGGCGTAAAACCAAACTCAGTCAGTCAGTCAGTATTTTCATAGAACTGTATTGAATCAAATTATGAGTAAATGCAGTACAATCTCCAGTTGTCATTGTTTGATAATCCCCCTAAGAATCTACACTTTACTGCATGAGTACAATGATGGTGGGCAATATGCTTTGGCTATTGAGAAATAATTCAGCTAAAATAATTAGATATTCTTCATTACTGAATTTGAAAGTCTAAATCTGCTCTATACCCCATGAGGAATATAAAACTTGTGACGACAGTTCATGGGAGTATTTCATCACAGAAGCATCATATGGGCTAGCTGACACATGTTAGATAGCTTTGATTGTTTTGTTGTTGGGAGTAATGTAAATTCTGATCAGTCCTTTTTCAAGAAAAGGGCCATGCATTGAGCAGTAAGTTTCTATTATTTAAAACAGTTTAATGGTTATGCTGGTTCCTGTACAGCTAAATGATAAAGCTTAATTGCTTGTAAATGCCTCAGTGGTGTCCATTTGTTGTTTCCCCAGTCTGCAGGCCCCCTCCTGATTAAGGTCCTGAATCAATCAATATCAATACAATTGGCCAATTATGGAGTTGGAATGAATAGAACTAGTTAGCAGGTGGATGGTTTCAGATAATATTTTGATATGTGCAGGATTGCTTACAATACACTATACAATAAGGCATTATGTATTCTGTATTATGTTCAAATGTCAATGTTTTAAAACATCATATTCAGGATAACGGCAACAACTCAAATAATGTTCAACGTGAAAATAATATTTTTAAATGTTAAATATAATAGCCTATGTCACTCCTTTGCTCTTTGGGGCGGCGGGGTAGCCTAGTGGTTAAAGCGTTGGCTCGTCACGCCGAAGACCCGGGTTCGATTCCCCACATGGGCACAATGTGTGAAGCCCATTTCTGGTGTCCCCCGCCTTGATATTGCTGGAATATTGCTAAAAACGGCGTAAAACTAAACTCAGTCAGTCAGTCAGCCTTTGCTCTTTCCTGACTGAAATGTACATTTGGAGAAATCGATGCACTCCACATGGTCCTCACACAGACAACTCTAGGTATGTTTTCATTTCCAAGAGGCCAGCAAGCCAAGTGGCAGGCTCCTGCTTGTCTAAATGTGGAATGGTGTATTGATTTCACACAAAGTCTGAAATTATATATAAATGAATCGATATACAAGTAGGAAGCTCTCAAATTGTGCTGATTGCAATGCAGGTATTTCCAACCGCTTCTTTAAATTATTCATCAGAAAATATCCTTTTCTCTCCCCAATGAACAATTTTCCGACCTACAGTGGCACTTGGTGTTTCAGCCCATGCTGAAAACATTATCTCAGTAAATTATCATTCCCAATTATCCCTGGCTTATTTTATCATATGATATAACTAAATAGGACAAATTTCCCGACCGGGGTATTTGTGGTGGAGTTTTTGCCTAATGTATAAATACTAATGCCTTGCAACTGTATTGATTGGATGCTATCAGTGATGAGAAAGCGCCCCCTATTGTATATTTGCAGGCAACTGGTCGGCAGAATAAATCTTCACCAAGGCTGGCCTGGTATTGATTTGTGTTGAGGAACTAGCCGAGTCTGTGGAAGGTTGTGTCGTCTGCTGCTGCTGCTGCCACCAGTGTGATTAGTTGAAGCAGGGGGATGAGTAGGAGCTGACTCGCAGGCACATGGACCTAAATTCATGAACTTGACAGCCCTGGTACCGGTGTTGGTGAATCGGCACGAATTCTTGCCTCCCTACCTGACATTGCCATCTTGGTTTCACTGTCTCCTTCAATCTTGCTAATTTCCTTCACAGGCTCAACCTATTCTTAAATTCTTGCATGAGTGGCTGAAAGAGGCGTACAGTTTCAATCAAGGAAATCAAAATGGATATTGGTTCAAGTGGTCGGCGGACGAGTGAAGACGATAAGAAATCACTCTCGTCAAGTTTTAGTGATGGAACATCCAAATTCTTCACTACAATGATTGCCAAGAAGAATGGACTTTTCAGTGATATGTCGTCAAAATTTGACTCCCTGATGAAGAGTGGGGCTAGCAGTAGTGCGAGTAGTGAGAACTCCAGTCCTGCCTCAAGCCCACCCCCTCGCACCCCACCCCCCCGACCACCACCCATCACCAACACACATCGGTCACTTAGTTTCAAAGGGCTGAAGGAGCGAGAGAATGTGGCTACCAAAATGTCTTCTGGTGATTTCAGACGTTCGCAAAGGGCAGGAAGTTCATCTGGTTTTTCTGATACAAGTTCAGTTGATGAGCAGTTTACAATGGATGGTATGAATGTAAGTTTTGATGAACCTTTATACAATCAACGTGAGGTACCAGCAGGTCAGAGTTCAGACAGTGGCTCCAGGTCCAATGATGGGAGGCAAGAAAGGAGAGTTATACCGGTTGCTGCACCCGATTCAAGAGATGAAACAGGATATGGGGACTCAGAGGGACCCTCAGCCTCTGTGTCTCCTCTCAACAGTCAAAACTCAGAAATCAGAAGTGAACACCGCAAAGCTCCGAAACTTACAACAAAACGTAGATCAAGCACGGTTGATGAGATGCTGTTTGATGATTATGTTGAACCAGAAACTAATGGGGACTCTGTATTTTCTGATCAGATGACTGCACCTGCAGGCGATCTAATGTCATTTGACCATGAAGCTACTGAAGGTAGAGGTAAATATCCGAGTCAGAGTAGTGCTGATTCATCCGAGCCGGGAATATGATACTCGCAATTATGCTATGACAAGCGTGGACTCTTCAGATGCTGAATTCGGAGGTGTGCAACTTCATCGCTCACAATCCATGGGGTCAGAAAAGTCGTGGAGCTCAAATTATAGTGTTGACAGCCAACCAGATGAGATTACATTGGAGTGTATGGAGTTTATGAAAAGCTTCGTGGATAAAATGTTTAATATCAAGTGAGTACTGTTCTGATATTTGTAGTTTTAAAAAACTTTCCAAAGAAGTCACTGTTTACTATGAACCATGTGAAATATATATTCCATTAGATTGTAGTTTAGTTTGAAGTATAACACAGTTTTAACATGTTGTTGTACATATGTGACATGTGACAGTATACTATTCATGTTATTTACCTCACAGTTTATGGTCAAAACCATGATCTGGTTTGTAACTGTAAGCTATTAGTAGCCTTTATTTAGTGAATTATTTGCAGAATTGTTGCGGATTGTGATTTGTGTTTGCCATTGTGTGTTCCATCTGTTCATTGTTGGTTTTATACATCCATGTTGTATGTTTGAAGACAGTCATACAGGCATAGCTGTATGGCCACGAGACATATTTACACTCATTAATATTCATACTGGAAAACCTGTTGCCTGCTATCTATATTCCAGATGATGAGAACTATTCAGTAAGTTTGATCAGATTTCCACCTGTACGCCCATCTGTGACGTACTTGTGAAAGCCTGGAGGTGAGGAGATTAGTGAGATGGTTCTGTGACTAAATGTTTAAGTGATGACTATATCTCTCCAGGGTGTAGCCAGATAGTGTCCCTCCACTTTACTTCAATAAGGTCATGCTCTGCTTCAGGACAAATCTGTAAAGTATCTACACTATCTGTACTCAAACTAGTTATCATGCCACCTTGGTATTGAAGTGACTTTGGTATTACAATAGGTCATTGAATTCCATTGAACACTGTTTACTGTATTGCTAGGCATATATGACACTGAGTGAAGTATTGGTAACTATATATGACACTGAGTGAAGTATTGGTAACCATATATGACACTGAGTGAAGTATTGGTAACAATATATGACACTGAGTGAAGTATTGGTAACCATGTATGACACTGAGTGAAGTATTGGTAACCACATATGACACTGAGTGAAGTATTGGTAACCATATCTCACACTGAGTGAAGTATTGGTAACCATATATGACACTGAGTGAAGTATTGGTAACCATGTATGACACTGAGTGAAGTATTGGTAACCATATCTCACACTGAGTGAAGTATTGGTAACCATATATGACACTGAGTGAAGTATTGGTAACCATATCTCACACTGAGTGAAGTATTGGTAACCATATCTCACACTGAGTGAAGTATTGGTAACCATATATGACACTGAGTGAGGTATTGGTAACCATATATGACACTGAGTGACGTATTGGTAACCATATATGACACTGAGTAAAGTATTGGTAACCATGTATGACACTGAGTGAAGTATTGGTAATCATATATGACACTGAGTGAAGTATTGGTAACCATATGTCACACTGAGTGAAGTATTGGTAACCATATATGACACTGAGTGAAGTATTGGTAACCATATCTCACACTGAGTAAAGTATTGGTAACCATATGTCACACTGAGTGAAGTATTGGTAACCATATATGACACTGAGTGAAGTATTGGTAACCATATATGACACTGAGTGAAGTATTGGTAACCATATCTCACACTGAGTAAAGTATTGGTAACCATATCTCACACTGAGTGAAGTATTGGTAACCATATCTCACACTGAGTGAAGTATTGGTAACCATATATGACACTGAGTGAGGTATTGGTAACCATATATGACACTGAGTGAAGTATTGGTAACCATATATGACACTGAGTAAAGTATTGATAACCATGTATGACACTGAGTGAAGTATTGGTAATCATATCATATATTGGTAACACATGAGTGAAGTATTGGTAACCATATATGACACTGAGTGAAGTATTGGTAACCATATATGACACTGAGTGAAGTATTGGTAACCATAACCACACACTGAGTGAAGTATTGGTAACCATGTATGACACTGAGTGAAGTATTGGTAACCATGTATGACACTGAGTGAAGTATTGGTAACCATATATGACACTGAGTGAAGTATTGGTAACCATGTATGACACTGAGTGAAGTATTGGTAACCATATATGATGAGTGAAGTATTGGTAGTATAGTATTGGTAAGTATTGGTAACCATATATGACACTGAGTGAAGTATTGGTAACCATATCTGACACTGAGTGAAGTATTGGTAACCATATATCACACTGAGTGAAGTATTGGTAACCATATATGATCACACTGAGTGAAGTATTGGTAACCATATATGACACTGAGTGAAGTATTGGTATATCTCACACTAAGTGAAGTATTGGTAACCATATATCACACTGAGTGAAGTATTGGTAACCATATATCACACTGAGTCACACTGGTGAGTAAAGTATTGGTAACCATATATGACACTGAGTGAAGTATTGGTAACCATATCTCATGACACTGAGTGAAGTATTGGTAACCATATATCACACTGAGTAAAGTATTGCCAACCATATATCCACACACTGAGTGAAGTATTGGTAACCATAAACTGAGTATTGGTAACCATATATCACACTGAGTGAAGTATTGGTATATGACACTGAGTGAAGTATTGGTAACCATATATGACACTGAGTGAAGTATTGGTAACCATATATCACACTGAGTAAAGTATTGGTAACCATATATCACACTGAGTGAAGTATTGTATGTCCATTGGTATTGCCAACCATATATGACACTGAGTAAAGTATTGGTAACCATATATCCACTGGAGTGAAGTATTGGTAACCATATATCCACTGAGTAAAGTATTGCCAACTATATCCATTAAGTAAAGTATTGCCAACCATATATCACACTGAGTAAAGTATTGCCAACTATGGATCCATTTAGTAAAGTATTGCCAACCATATATCACACTGAGTAAAGTATTACCAACTATATATCCATATAGCAAAGTATTGCCAACTATATATCCATATAGCAAAGTATTGCCAACCATATATCACACTGAGTAAAGTATTGCCGACTATATCCATTTAGTAAAGTATTGCCAACCATATATCACACTGAGTAAAGTATTGCCAACTATGTATCCATTTAGTAAAGTATTGGTGACCATATATCACACTGAGTAAAGTATTGTCTACCATATACCACACTAAAGTATTGCCAACTTTATAAAGTAAAGTATTGCCAACTATATCCATTTAGTAAGATGCCAACTATATCCATTGCCAACCATATATCATTGAGTAAAGTATTGTAAGTAAAGTATTGCCAACCATATAGCAAAGTATTGCCAACCATATATCACACTGAGTAAAGTATTGCCAACCATATATCACACTTGAGTAAAGTATTGCCAACCATATATCACACTGAGTAAAGCCATTGCCAACCATATATCACACTGTATTGCCTGCCATAATAAAGTAAAGTATTGCCAACTATATCCATTTAGTAAAGATGTTGCCAACCATATACACTGAGTAAAGTATTGCCAACCATATATCACACTGAGTAAAGCATTGCCAACTATATCCATTTAGTAAAGTATTGCCAATATATCCATTTTGTATATCCAACACTTTAGAAAATGTGGCCAAAAATGTGGCCAACTATGTATCCGTTTAGTAAAGTATTGGTGACCATATATCACACTGAGTCAAGTATTGCCTACCATATACCCATAAAATTAAGTATTGCCAACTATATCCATTTAGTAAGATGTTGCCAACCATATATCACTCTGAGTAAAGTATTTGCCAACTATATATCCATATAGTAAAGTATTGGCAACCGTATATCACACTAAGTGAAGTATTGCCAACTATATATCCATATAGTAAAGTATTGCCAACCGTATATCACACTAAGCAAAGTATTGCCAACTATATATCCATATAGTAAAGTATTGCCAACCATATATAACACTGAGTGAGGTATTTCCAACTATATATCCATATAGTAAAGTATTGCCAACCATATATCACACTGAGAAAAGTATTGCCAACTATGTATCCATTTAGTAAAGTATTGCCAAACATATATCACACTGAGTAAAGTATTGCCAACTATATATTCATTTAGTAAAGTACTGCCAGATATATGTCACACTGACTAAAGTACTGTTAGACCTACATAACATTGTTAAAGTATTGCCAGAAATATATCACACTGGCTAAGGTATTGTAACAAGTATATCACATTGAGTAAAGTAATGCCATACATAAATCACACTGAATATGGTATTGTCAGACATATATAGCATTGACTGAGTATTGTCAGGTATGTATCACACTGAGCAAAATTTTGCCATGCAACAGGTGGCTTTTAGGGGAGAATATGTCCCCAGTTCTCTTGTCAGTACCTTGTAACACCCTTGATGCTCTCTCTACATGCCATGAGAAGGCTTCCATGAGAGAATATGTCCCCAGTTCCCTTGTCAGTATTTAGTCACACCCTTGATGCTCTCTACACCCAGCCAATGGCTTCCAGAAAAGAATATGTGCCCAGTTATCTTGTCAGTACCTTGTCACACCCTTGATGCTCTCTACACCCAGCCAATGGCTTCCAGAAAAGAATATGTGCCCAGTTCCTTGTCAACACAGTCACACCCTTGACACTCTCTACACCCAGCAGATGCCTTGTATGGGAGAACATGTGCCCAGTTCCCTTGTCAGTACACAGTCACACCCTTGATGTTCTCTACACCCAGAAGATGGCTTCCGGGAGAGAATACCTGCCCACTTTCCTTGTCAGTACACAGTCACACCCTTGATGCTCTCTACATGCCACGAGAAAACTTCCAGGAGAGATCATGTCCCCAGTTCCCTTATCAGTACAGTCACACCCTTGACCCCAATGTTATGGAGAATTGTGTATTGTCTCATTGCTAACAACAGTGTAAAACAACCTTCAGTTGCTCCCCAGGGTGGTGGAGGTGTGAGTATTGTCACATTGTTGATTGTTCTGCAAGACAACCTTCAGTGACAACATTTTGGTTTGAAATACCTTTTGTGTTCCCCATTAGACTGAGGAAATGTTGTGCTGGTGTATGAACACTTGTTGTGAGTGAGTGAGTTTAGTTTCATGCCACTTTTAGCAATAAT